GAAGTGCGAATTTGGTTTGATCAACAAAGTCACTAGAACTAAGAAACTACATATGAAGTTGTGAATAATTGAAAATAAATTTGCTGTTGAATACAAAAACTACTTGGAAATTTTCTTTCATGATGAGGAGATAAGAATAAATAACTTATTTTGAATTCATTTTTCCATTGTTTTTTTTACTTCATTATTTTTTTAACTAGACATGTTTTATGTAAATTTGCACAATTTAAATTTTATAGGTAAAATGCATTACATGTATATTTCATATTTTAACTTTATAAATATTATATAATGAGCATATTTAATTTATAAATATTAATTAATATCTCTTACCCGTGCACCGCACGGGATTCATACTAGTTGTAGTTAATTGCCTAATTGTCTAAGTGTTATTATTTAATTAAAAATGTGTATTTGTATTTTTATTAATATTATTATCATTTTAAAAATTAAATTTCGTGTATTATAAATATATTTCATATCCGGTTTATTTATTTATATTGCGATTTATCGAGCCCGAGAAGAAGAACCGTATTTAAAGCTACGTCTAGTCGGGCCCGAGAGCCAAATCGTTTCATAAAACCGACCCAGCCCCGAACCCTATCCGCCCGGCCCAGTTGTGTGTGTGTGATTAAGTCTTGTGTAACAAGACAAAACCCTAGCCTTATATCTGTCTCAATCGTACAGAGAATCATATTCACACCCGCAGCCTTATTTGTTTTTCTTCGACCGCGACTATAGCAAAGAAGTATTTTTCTCTCGTTCAGTTCATCCTCTCACCCTCATCGTCTACGTCCATCTCTCCCATCTCTTCTCGCCTTCACCACCCTCGCTGACCATCATCATCGTAGCATCATCATCGTCGTCGTCATCACTCCCCCTCGTGAAAATCTCGCCATCGCCCTCTCTCTATTTCCGGCGAATTCCCCTGATCCTCATCGCTGCGCCTATTTCGTTTGCGCCGCCAGCCGCCCAGCGAACTCCGGCGACCTCCTTCCGTCGAGAACTAGTCCCCTCGCCCTGAAGCTCCGCCTCAGCAACCTTCGCCGCCGCCAGCAGAAGCTCCTCCACACGCCACCGCGACCCCGGCGAGTCCCGACCACCGCTGCGACTTTCGAGCGAGCGCCCTCCGCCCTGAACCGTCCTCCGATCACGATCAGCGGGCCGCGAGCATCCCAGCAACGGACATTGACGCAGGACAGCCCCTCGGTTTCCGACAAGCGAGCCGCCGCTTGTTTCCGAACGAACCCTCCGTCGCGTTTTCGAACGAATCCCGAGAACGATACAAGGCTCGAACCCCCGTCGCGTTAAATTATATGTGTCGTTTATGTTGTGATTATTTGTTGTGATTGAACGCATTCGATATTACATATGTATTGGTGCCTATGAATTTATGTGTCGAATATGAAGTTGTGCATTGACGAGCCTTTCGCTTTTGAAAAAAAACGAACGAGGCCTCGTCAACTCGTGAATTGGTCGCTGTGGGCTGGAACTTGTAACGTCCATAGTCTTATAGCGAAGACTTCGGACGGATTCGTCGTAAAACGAGTCGGTTATGAATTAACGAACTTGCATTGTCGCTGTTTTACTATAAACATTATGATAAATTGTGTGATGCTTGTATTACTGTGAAATTTTGTCTGCTAGTCTCTCTGCTGAACATACATGTTGTGTAAAAATTTCGGATTAAAATGTTAAGCATAGCTATTTTTAATAATTATATGAAATTCTGAGCATAATCTTGTTAAATTCCTATTAAATTGAGTTGTGCTCCAAAAATTAGGAAATTTGAGTATGTTTTCTTCCTGTAGATTTTATAGGTCGTGTAAAATTCTTGGAATTTTTGGACTTCGTTTGCTATGTGTAAAAACTATTAGTTATATTCTGCAGTTTCGTATTTTAATTTTAATAAATTTGTCTGTTCTGCTAAATTGCTGAAAAATTATGACTAGGTCCATTTTGTGATGATTTCCACTATATAAAAAAATAGAATTTATTTGAGTTCACTTTGGTTCTGTCTTATTGAAAATTTGAAATCAGCAGAAACTAGTTCTAATGTTTAAAATTCGGATACTTGATGTTAATTGCTGAAAATTTTATATGTTACTGTTCTCATGCTGTTACTGCTTGTGTAAGATTTTCATGCCCTAATTCATTCATTTGATCGGGTTGCTGTTATATGCTCATTTTTGCCATAAACTTGCTCGAATTTTATAAAATAGCATGCTTTGAGTTTGGGGCTGAAAATTGGTGGTTTTGCTTAATTCTGAGAGGTGAAATTTTGTTTAAAATTTCAAAGTTAAATTCGTATGATAACCTGACCAACTTATTTTTGTGGTTAAAAACTAGTATTTTCGAATATATGGCTTTACAATAAAAACTATAAATCGACTCGTCTTCTGTGCCCTTGAGTGTTTGACTTGGTCAATCCTTGTTTTGGATTATGTGAACTCCCATGGGTAATTGGTTGAGTCTTAGAATCGAGTCTAATTTTTTCAACGTCCACAGGACTTCACGAACAACTTAGTTGAATCAAGACTAAGTATGATTGTAATTTCTGTTTAAGTCAAAATAGTCTAAATAGATGTTGATTATAGCATCTAGACTTAATGTAGGTGTTTGAGGAGTCGAGCCCTCGACCTACCGACTTGTTTGTGTGACTTCTCTACCGATTTACCAGATGGGTTTTATTCATGAACTTGTGCCTTAATTAATTGTTATTGTTGTGGTATGATCAATGTATGCATGTGGACCATGTAGCCTTCGATTTGAGCTGTACCGGTCGTCGAACGGTTATCCCCGTAGCTATAGAACGTACCTTCGGGTAGTCTCTTTTATTATTGTTGGCAGTCAGGGCGTGAGCCTTGGCTGGTGATCCTCGTATGTAAGGCCAAGGCGTAAGTTTTGGCATTCGTGGTGGATTTACTCTTACTGGCCGAGCACTCGTTGTAAGGCCTTAGATAAGGCGTTCAGTATATAGTTCGACAGTAGTTTATTGATATAGGTGTGCACATGAGACGATTATTGATTATTGATAGGAGATGGGACGATTATTGATTCGTATACATGCTGCGACCATACCTAAATTTATTGATTATTGAAAATTAATTATTGCATAACGGTGAACACCTCGATTTTCCTATTGTGCTCACCCCCACCTGCTCTTCATGGATGCAAGTTAGTGTTGCGGGCACGGTGGAGGGATGCGAGTGGTGGTCTTAATAATTGATATTGCTTCCGCCTAGAACTGAATATTGTTATTTCTGTTTTCCTTATTATCGATTACTGGATTATTGATAGGGAGTGTACTACCTAGGATGATTTGATTATTAAATTGCTAATTTGAGTATTGATAATTGAGTATTGATGATTGTGTAAGTATTGGTGAATGATTGAGTATTGAAAATTTGGTTAAGTATTGATAAACCATTTGAAAATGAGTAACGCTTCAAGTGTTTATTGAAATAAATTTGAAAAATTTATTCTGATTTTCGACAAATAAAAGTGGGGCGTTACAGCCTTGATCGTCTTTTGTCACGGCCACCAGCTCAACCTGAAAAGATGGTTAATAGTGGGAGTGAACAAACAACTAGCTCACTGTGAGAATACCATGCAGTATGATCAAAATAAAGACTTAAAACCATGGTCGCAGTATGTAAGCAAATCGGCTAGACTACCCTCACTCAACCCAGCCACTCATGTGATAACACCTAATCATATCCCTCAGACACAAGATAGGTATAGCCACCACGCAAGGACGTGAGCCGTCAATAAAACACATGACGGGAGCAACAGCAGAGGTAACCTGCACACGGACTAAGCTCTCTAAAGGCTAGAGTTAGACCTCATAGACTACTGGTTCACATGCATACCTAGATCATCAAGCCAAGCATTTATAGAAATCAACATACATGGTAAGTTTATCAACACCCACCTGGAATCGAGTAGGCAACAACACACAAGCTGAAGAACGTAGGTCGAGGGCTCGACTCTTCAAACCTAAAAAGTAAGGATTTAATTATTATTAAGGGTTTTGATTGGGTTGATTAGGCCACACAAGCAGATAAAGTACACTTCAACTACTAAACCGCATCAAAAGGCTCAACACCGAACATAACAAGTCAAAGCCCAAAAAAAATAAGTCGAACTTATAATGCACATGAGGCACAACACATAAGTATTCATCTAAAGCATACAAAACACATGACATAGCCTTCTCTTTTCACTTAAGCCACAACTCTCAATTTAACTAACACTTAGGCGACAACATAACAGCAACTTAAACTCGAAATATACACATAATCACAGCAACGTAACACACAAGAAATCACAGCATATAGACAAATCAAATAAAGCACTCAAATAACAAGGTATAGCCTTCTCTAAATTTAAACATGCCATAATAATCCTTAAAACTGATTTGAAAAGCATATGAAACACCTTAATTCAACATGGAATAGACACATAAGGATAATACCACTCAGCCACAACAACAACAACAATTTAAACCAAATTCTCAACACATTATACCTTACGCCATCTTCTTTTCTCTCAAGTTTAACCATTTAAGCATGGCCTTAGAACTGAAATTATTGCCCTAAATAATCATGCATAATCTCAGCGAAATGGCATAGAAGGCTCAGCAATAATGCTACGTATGGCTCAACAAGAATCATAAACATTTCAAAAATCTTCTTCAAGTTTTTAGCCAAAAACACATCAAAAGGCTACTATAACTGAATATAATTTCTGGCTTTCCATAACATTTTCGCCATATAAACACACAACAAGGCTCAGCCGCATATATCAAAACATGGCCAAAAACAAGTATAAAATGCCTTCTCATGCTTCAAACTTCTCTTAACTTTGAGCACACTTTTACATGCTTGGATTAAGAACCGAAACCAAACACGCATACTCAACACATAAACTTGGCCAGAGAAAACTTAAAAGTTTCAGCTTTTAGTACCTCTATTCGGGTAAAGGTTTAAAGCCGAAAAATGGCTCGGGTCTCATTGCAAGTTCTCATCTCTCGGTTCTGGGAAAGTGGGCCCAGATTGCTGCAGCCCGGGCACTCTCAAGCTCTCGAAAAATGGGCTCGGTTTAGCTGTTGCCCGGCCACTGCTCGTTGAAAAGGAAGTCGACTGCTCGATAAAGCCTCGAACGGCTGCCGCTATTCTCACATGGGACACGAAAGGACTGCCGCTGCTGTTCCGGCCCTAGACGAAGGCCGACGAGGTGCGGCTGCTATGCTCGGAGGTTGCCTGGCTAGAACGGGGCTTCTTGCTACTCGAGGACACGCGGCTGAAGCTCTTCGACGATGTGCTGCTGCGAACGACGACTGGTCACGGCCCGTTGCTGGTCCAGGGTCGCCGGCGATGGCTGCCTTTGGTCGGAGGTCGCGGCCCGCCGTTGGTCGAGTGCCGGATATGAACAGGGAACAAACAAGTCGCCAGAAAGGGAGGAGAACGGAACTCGCCTGTCGCACCGGAAATTCGTCGGAACCTGATGGGCCGCAGCACGGCCTTCTTGTCAGCTGCGTTGGAGGCTTCTCGATCGGTGCTGGTTCTGCTCGTCGTCGAGCTGGTTGCGAGCGGACAGAGGCTCCTTGTCGATGGTGGACGTCAGCGGTTCCTCTTGACCGAATCTCGATGGCTGATGGTTCACACGCGGCGGACTTCGGCTAATCGCGCGCTAGCTCGCGGTCGCCGGATTTTGGAGCTTCCATTGACGGTTCTGCGTGGTCGAAGGAATTGAGGATGACGATGGGCGTTTCTGTGAATTTCTGAAGGAGTATAAGGGGGTGGCGACCGAACTAGAAATCCTTAAATAGAGGAAAAACAGGGCTGCGGGATTGAGAGTCGTGAGGTCGATGGAAGCAGAGAATGTGGAAATCGGTTAGCATAGGTTTCTTTCGCTGGTGGTGGCGTTGATTGAAGAAGGTGAAGAAATGGGCTGATATGGGGAGATGCTTGGGCCATTTATTATGGTGACTTGGGCCGGTTTTGTGTTGTTAAAATTGGGCCAAAAATAAATGTGATAGGAATCCTTGAGTTGGGCCGGATTCAAATGTACTTAGTACGCTCATGCAAAACTTAAAGACAACACAAAATCCACTTAAGGAAAATAAAATAAATAAATAATTGGTACACTTAGGATAAATTAAATAAAACAAAAGCACAAAAAAAGAATTAAGAAGACGAGGACATCTTCCTAAATCTCGATTTTCGAGTAGGTGAATTAATTAGAAGAATTAAATAGACGAAGACATCTATTTAATTTTAATAAGCTCAGGGGAAATTGTCGAGCACTACGACTAAAACAAAAGCGAGGCAATAAATAATAATATAATATTGAAGAACTGGTGTGGATAGACGCTGCTCGCGCGGCTTGGGCGCGGCTGAGGCTGCTAGGGCGCTGCCAGGGGACCCTGGGCACGCGGGCGTGCTGCTGGGCACGTCCCGGGGCCAACTGAACTAAGGGAACACGACTCGGGTTCACTGGGCACAGCACTGAACACTCGGGCATGTGGCTAGTACCACCCGAAGTCTACTCCGCGCGGCACGAGCGACTGGCTCGAGGCAACGCGTGCACTGACGCTGAGACCACACTGCTGGGCGCTGTCGCGTGCGCTGGGAGCTGCGGTGCCTCGCGTGCGCAGAACGCGGGCACGGACAGAGGCGACTTTGGCCTCGGTAGACGCGGCACAGGCACGACGCGCGCTTGCATGCGCGACTGGTGGCCCACGACTGGTCCTCGCAGGACTTCCGGCCACTATTCCGGTGACAACCGAACTAAACCAACATAACATGATATAAAACATGTAAATATGCCAAGAAATGCTAGGGGAACTCAGTTGGATTTTGACTTGGTCCGGTAGGGCCGATATGGCACCTTTGAACCCTAGGTCACCGAACAAACATACTCAACTTCTATAATCACTTAGGGCCGAATACATAACATCACAATCATGACTTTAGGGGCTAACACATTGGTTATAACTCGCATGCATAATACTTAGGCTCGGTGGTGAAAATAACCTCGATTCACTATCAACTTGACCGAAAAGATGAACTCAAAGCATGCCTATCTTTTACCAATGTCATGAACATGATTTTTGAGGAATTATAAGCTACTAAAATCGGCCTAGGCATGCATGTACTACAAAATCCGAAATTAGGGCTCGAAACTTCGAAAATTCATATCTCCATATTTAGCACGTGCATGATATCATTTTTTCTACATGATAATTCTTAAAATATCATGCTAAGACTGAGAAAAATGAAAAACACGAGCTTACCTTCACCAAAGACCAAAATGGTGCTAGGGCTCTTTTGCTCTGCTCTACTCGGCCCTCGGGAGCTTAACCTTGCTCCAATGGCTTTGGGATGCTAATGATGGTTGCTGGGGACTTCTAAAAATCCAACAAACGAAATGGAATAGCTTAGCCATGACAGAACTCCACTGGAACGAGCTGCAACTCGGGACCCTCCTTCCCCGGGACAATGTGCGCGCCTGTGGGCTAAGGCTCTTCCTCTCGGTTTCTTTCTTATTCTCTCTATAGCTCCAAGTATTCTAAGTGTCAAATGTTCCATCTTCAGCTGGGAGTTGAGCTTATAATAGCATTTGGGCGGAGCATACAAGACATAGCATGGGAGACCAACTCTTGTGACCTTTCTTTATTCTAGGCGCATGGCATGGACTTGCATGGTCTTGGACTGATTTAGCATGATTCTAGGAGCATCTTGCAGAGCATAATATGGTGGGGAAATGGTCTGGTCAGGTCTGGTGCCACCAGAGGGGACAAGCCTTACACATCTTGAATAAAATAATTCTTAGTCCATGCTCCACTCACATTAATTTAATGCTAATGATACTTGGACTTTGCTTAATCTTTCTCCAGCCTTTGTTAGGCTTATTGAACCAGGCATTAATCCCTTAATAACTCACATGATGATGGGTTAGAAGAACATGGGCCGAAACTTATGCCATTGGGCTCGGCACTTGGGCTGCACGAGACTTAGGCGCGCGACATAGGCTGGGCTGGCGCGCGGCCTTGCTTGGCTCTGCACGGGCTGAAAGTGTCAGAACTTGGACCGAGGTCTAAGACACTACAAGGGCTGAATGATGGCTGAAAACTGAGGTCCAACACTTAGAGAAAAATCCCAGACATACACGGGCATGACTTGGGCCTTCTCGGCACGGCTTGAGGCACGACTTGCGGCACTAGAGCGCGAGGGGCTTGGACCCGGCACGAACTTGGTGCGGGATACTTAGGTCGACGGACTCATCTAGGGCTCGATAATAATGAACTCATACTTAGAAAATTTCTAAGTAAGGCTACAAGCGGATAAGGCTTGATCAAGACTCTAGACTACTAGGCTCGAGACTTGGCTAGGCGCGAGACTCGTGACCGAACGACTTCAAAAAATAAATGGACCCGAATCAACAACTGAAATTGAATAGCTGAATAACTGGGCTCGGAACTCAAGGCAAGCAATATTAATAAAAGGAAATAGTCCAATCTCCGAACTAAACTGCCACTTTTATTAATACAGAACTGGGCTATATTTCTATTTTAATAAAAGGAAATAGTTCAATCTCGGAACTCACGTTGTCCACCTTCACCGGCACCGATCCCGAGGCATGGCTCAACCGGGCCGTGCAATACTTTCAGCTCAACGAGACCGAGGCAAGTGATCGCGTGAGATATGCGGCCTACTACCTAGACGGCGAGGCCAACGTATGGTGGCAATGGCTCACGAGCGTTTACCGCAATCGGCAACGAGTCATCAGGTGGGGTGACTTCGAGCGCGAGTTACTCACGCGTTTCAGGACATTCGACTACTACAACTATGACGAGGCGCTCTCGCGCATACGTCAGTCCAGCAGCCTGTGCGATTATCTGAAGGTGTTTGAAAGGCTTGCGTGCCGCGTAAGGGGCTGGCCTGAGACTGCATTGGTCGGGGCATTCATCGGCGGCCTCAAGTATGACTTAGCCGCGGAGGTTCGATTAGAGCGGCCCGACTCGATGCATGTGGCCATGGAGGTCGCCCGACGCCGCGACGATCACCTCGCCGCTACTCGAAGGGGACGGGCAGACGCGCATTATCCCGAGCCGCGACGCACAAGCAACATCGTACCAAGCATCCGACCACCCAACAGCGCTCGACGATCGACCCTGGAAGTCAAACGACTGTTGCTCGAGGAGATGAGGCGCCGGCGTGAGAAGAGGCTCTGCTTTAAGTGCGAGGAGAAATTCACACCGGGTCATCGACGCAAGCAAGCGTTTGTAATCGACGTAGTCGACTCGGATGAGGAGGAGCCCGAGATCGAGGAAGGCGGAGAGGAAATTGAGGTGCTCGAAGATGAAGCCGAGATCTCAATGCACGCGATGGCTGGTACTCGAGGGCCAAGAACGATGCGACTACCGGCATGGGTCAAGGATCGCCGAGTGATCGTACTCGTGGATAATGTGTCATCGCACAATTTCATCAACACCACGTTATCCCAAAAGCTGAAATTACCCACGACGACGATAGAGCCATTCGAGGTCCGAGTAGCCAATGGTGAACGGATAAAGTGCACCAAGTCCTATCGTAAGGTGCCAATCAAGTTCCAAGGAGTCACCATCAAAGCCGATCTCTACGCACTACCCTTGGTTGGACCCGACGTTGTGTTAGGTGTCCAGTGGCTCGAAGGGTTGGGAGAAGTGACCACCAACTACAAAACCGGGGTCATGAAGTTCAAAGCGGGAGAACAGCAAGTCACGTTGAAGGCCAGTGAGGTCGGTGGGACCAAGGAGGTTGGTCTCAAGAGCATAGAGCGGGTTTGGTGCGGAGGCAGCCAAATCTTTGCAGGTGTGGTCGAGGACACGAGCGCACCCATAACCGAGGTCGACCTGCAGCAGGGCGAGGTGCGCAGGCTACTCGAGAAGTTCGACCGAGTACTAGGGGAGCCTAAGGGTTTACCGCCACACCGGGAACTCGACCACCGCATACCGTTAACCAATGAGCAGCATGCAGTACACGTCCATCCATACCGATACGCACACTTCCAGAAGACGGAGATAGAAAGGCAAGTTGGCGAGATGCTTGAGGCCGGGCTCATTAAGCATAGCTCAAGCC